ACCGGGAATCTAGACCCCCGGAAGTCATAACGGTCGAGGGAGAAGAAGAATTTGACTTAGAAACAATCCTGAAGTGTCGAAGGAGGGGAGGCCAGACCCAATTCCTTATCAAATGGAAGGGCTGTGGCCCTGAGGACAATTCTTGGGAGCCAGCCCATAATGTCCATGCACCCAGACTTGTCCGGAGGTTTTTTCGCGATCACCCGTGGTGGAGAGATCGGGTGGGCATCCGGAGGTTGCCCGTAGGGGGGGGCAATGTCAGGGATCTCCTCGATCCCCGCCACGATGGTCCCGGCGCAGGCGCAGTGCACCGCCCTGTGCAGGGACACGGGCACTAGGTCCGGGCCGGCCGCGGCGTTCGAGTTCGCGCATGCGCAGTAGAAGCCGCGGCCGCCTGCTGGGCACCAATGGCAGCGCAGGGCGGGATATTTAAATGGCCCTGAGCTGTCATTCAGTGCCTTCTGGTCTTCCCTGCATCCTGTATCCTGTGAGCCTGTACCCTGTAAGTTTTGGACCCGGATTGTACCTGACCTTGCTGTTTTCTCCTATTCTGACCCTTGCTTTGCCTGATCTCTCTCCTGAATGCCCCTTATTGGATTTGACCTGCTGTTGCTGACCTGGCGTGTGACCCGACCATTCTATGCCCGCTGCCTTGTACCTTGCCGTCCTCTCTGTTACCGACCCGGCCTGTCTGACCTTGCTCATCCATCCATCCCTTGCAGTGGGGTCTTCTGACCTCCTCATATCAGACTCTTCCCCGTGGGAGCCCTTGGCGCATACCACTACCACTGACAGACGCACCCAGTAGCCACGACCTGGTCTCGGGGGGCTCCAAGTCCATCCCCACCATCAGGGGCCCTGGTGAACAAGCACCCTGGGACTAAGATTCCGTGCGCTGGGGACACCTATTCAGTGGAGTGCTAGTGGTACCGCCAGGCGGTCCCTTACAGTATGCTTATCAGACTCTGAAGGAGTATACCCGGGATCAACTGCTAGAATGTATACGGGTCGCTCATGTTCTAGTACAGTGGTGGGCAACCTTTTTTTTCAACTGTGCCAAATCTCGCCAAAACCACGATTGAAATTTATTTTGAGAGCCACATTTTTAAAACTGAAAATACATAGGATGGTACACTGTTTTTAGTTTCAATAAGTTTTTATAGTAATTTCATCCCCCATAGTAATTCATCCCCCATATAGTAATTCATCCCCCATATAGTAATTCATCCCCAATAGTAATTCATCCCCCATATAGTAATTCATCCCCCATATAGTAATTCATCCCCCATAGTAATTCATCCCCCATAGTAGTAATTCATCCCCCATATAGTAATTCATCCCCCATATAGTAATTCATCCCCCATATAGTAATATATCCCCATATAGTAATACATCCCCCATATAGTAGTAATTCATCCCCCATAGTAATTCATCCCCCATAGTAATTCATCCTACATATAGTAATTCATCCCCCATATAGTAATACATCCCCATATAGTAATACATCCCCCATATAGTAATTCATCCCCCATAGTAATTCATCCCCCATATAGTAATTCATCCCCCATATAGTAATTAATCCCCCATATAGTAATTAATCCCCCATATAGTAATTCATCCCCCATAGTAATTCATCCCCCATATAGTAATTCATCCCCCATAGTAATTCATCCCCCATATAGTAATACATCCCCCATATAGTAATTCATCCCCCATAGTAATTCATCCCCCATATAGTAATTCATCCCCCATAGTAATTCATCCCCCATAGTAATTCATCCCCCATATAGTAATTCATCCCCCATAGTAATTCATCCCCCCATAGTAATTCATCCCCCATATAGTAATTCATCCCCCATAGTAATTCATCCCCCATAGTAATTCATCCCCCCATAGTAATTCATCCCCCATATAGTAATTCATCCCCCCTATAGTAATTCATCCCCCATATAGTAATTCATCCCCCATATAGTAATACATCCCCCATATAGTAATTCATCCCCCATAGTAATTCATCCCCCATATAGTAATTCATCCCCCATAGTAATTCATCCCCCATATAGTAATTCATCCCCCATATAGTAATACATCGCCATATAGTAATTCATCCCCCATAGTAATTCATCCCCCATATAGTAATTCATCCCCCATAGTAATTCATCCCCCATAGTAATTCATCCCCCATATAGTAATTAATCCCCCCTATAGTAATTCATCCCCCATATAGTAATTCATCCCCCCTATAGTAATTCATCCCCCATATAGTAATTCATCCCCCCTATAGTAATTCATCCCCCATATAGTAATTCATCCCCCATATAGTAAATCATCCCCCATATAGTAATTCATCCCCCCTATAGTAATTAATCCCCCATATAGTAATTCATCCCCCTATAGTAATTCATCCCCCATAGTAATTCATCCCCCATATAGTAATTCATCCCCCATATTAATTCATCCCCCACAGTAATTCATCCGTCATATAGTAGTAGTAAGTAAGGAGCAAGTAGTAAGCCAAGTCCCCCCTGTGTCAATTCACTTACCTCCGCGCGTTCCTCTCGCCGTGTTGCCGCGCCGTTCCGGTCTTCAGGGCGGACTGTGAGAGGAGCCTAGCTCCTCTCACGTTCGTCACGCTGCCCCGCCTACACACATCCTGACAGCCAATCACTGGCTATCAGGTTGTGAGTGGCAGCGAGACTGGCCAATCATTGCATTTGAGCGCGCTGCCCTGGCTGTTTTTTTTTTTGATCACGCTGCAGAGTCCCTGCCGCCCGAGAGGAGGGAGGGGAGCGGGCGCCCGGGCACACAAGAGCCATATTAAAGCGTGTAAAGAGCCGCATGTGGCTCGCGAGCTGCGGCTTGCCGACCACTGTTCTAGTAGATCAGGGCACATAGTTCTCTGAGGTGCAACCTTTGATTCAGGTTTGTGCAGAGTTGGCTTCATCTGGTACCCCTGAAAGCAGGAATGACTTTTTGCCACCATTTAGTGCAGACCAGGTAGAGTCCCTGGTATGGTTATTAGATGATGATGTGGATTGCTTCTTGGAGCATTATGCTGCATGTTCACAACAGGTATTAAGGGATTGTATAAACGCAGTGCAGTCTTTGACCAGACAGGCTTTGTGTAAGCTGAGCTTTGTTCAACCCATACTGCAGACATGGTCAGACTTGTAGCACCCAGCCTCAGTCAGCTTACAACATCATTCCTCCGCTCAAGGCACTCTTCCTGCATCTCCGACAGCACCCCCAGTGACGGCCCAGTATACTCTGCTAACTACCACATATCAGTCCTCTGCTCCCACTCGCTGCACCTATTCTGCCTTTAACCCTGTAAAGAAGTCCTCTGTAGCAACTGCTCCCTCCTCTGTTCCATCCTCCAGCTCTTCTCTGTCTTCAGCTGCTCCATCCGTTTACAAACCTGCGCTTACTTACAGTGCTCCGGTAACTAAAACCAGGAAAAGACGAAAATTCTTTCCAACCAATACCATCCTGCCAGTATCCAAACCGGTCAGCCTGCCATCTGAGAACCCACCTTTCGTGGTGCAGCCTGGTGCCTCAACGCCCACAATTCAGCCTGATGTCTCTACCCAGCCTGATATCTCTACCCAGCCTGATGTCTTTACCCAGCATGATGTCTCTACCCAGCCTGATGAACTGATCCAGCCTGATGATCCTATTATGCCAGGTGACTCGGTGCCCTCTGTCGAGCCAGACGATCCAATGCCTGATGACCCGGTACCCGCTGTCGAGCCAGATGACCTGATGCCACATGACCCGGTGCCCAGTGTTGAGCCAGATGACCCGGCTCCCGCAGTCTTGCCAGATGATTCGGCGGCCGCAGTCTTGCCAGATGACTTGGTGCCCGCAGTCTTGCCAGACGACTTGGTGCCCGCAATCTTGCCAGACGACTCGGTGCCCGGAGTCTTGCCAGACGACTCGGTGCCCGCTGTTTGCCAGATGACTCGGTGCCCGCTGTCTTGCCAGATGACTCGGAGCCCACTGTCTTGCCAGACGACTCGGTGCCCACAGTCTTGCCAGACGACTCGGTGCCCGCAGTCTTGCCAGATGACTCGGTGCCCGCAGTCTTGCCAGATGACTCGGTGCCTGCAGTCTTGCCAGATGACTCGATGCCCGCTGTTCCGCCAGATGACTTGGTGCCCGCTGTCTTGCCAGATGACTCGGAGCCCACTGTCTTGCCGGATGACTTGGTGCCCGCTGTCTTGCCAGATGACTCGGTGCCCGCAGTCTTGCCAGATGACTCGATGCCCGCTGTTCCACCAGATGACTCGGTGCCCGCAGTCTTGCCAGATGACTCGGTGCCCGCAGTCTTGCCAGATGACTCGATGCCCGCTGTTCCACCAGATGACTCGGTGCCCGCTGTCTTGCCAGATGACTCGGTGCCCGCAGTCTTGCCAGATGACTCGGTGCCCGCAGTGTTGCCAGATGACTCGATGCCCGCTGTGCCGCCGGATGGCTTGGTGCCCGCTGTCTTGCCAGATGACTCGGAGCCCACTGTCTTGCCAGATGACTCGGTGCCCGCAGTCTCACCAGATGACTCGGCGCCCGCAGTCTTGCCAGATGACTCGGCGCCCGCAGTCTTGCCAGATGACTCGGTGCCCGCAGTCTTGCCAGATGACTCTGCGCCTGCTGTCTTGCCAGATGACTCGCCTGCTGTCTTGCCAGATGACTCGGTGCCTGCTGTCGAGCTTAAAGACCCGATGCCCGCGGTTCCACCAGATGACTCGGTGCCCGCAGTCTTGCCAGATGACTCGGTGCCCGCAGTCTTGCCAGATGACTCGATGCCCGCTGTTCCGCCAGATGACTCGGTGCCCGCTGTCTTGCCAGATGACTCGGTGCCCGCAGTCTTGCCAGATGACTCGGTGCCCGCAGTGTTGCCAGATGACTCGGTGCCCGCAGTGTTGCCAGACGACTCGATGCCCGCTGTGCCGCCGGATGGCTTGGTGCCCGCTGTCTTGCCAGATGACTCGGAGCCCACTGTCTTGCCAGATGACTCGGTGCCCGCAGTCTTGCCAGATGACTCGGTGCCCGCAGTCTTGCCAGATGACTCGGCGCCCGCAGTCTTGCCAGATGACTCGGTGCCCGCAGTCTTGCCAGATGACTCTGCGCCCGCTGTCTTGCCAGATGACTCGGCGCCCGCAGTCTTGCCAGATGACTCGGCGCCCGCAGTCTTGCCAGATGACTCGGTGCCCGCAGTCTTGCCAGGTGACTCTGCGCCTGCTGTCTTGCCAGATGACTCGGTGCCTGCTGTCGAGCTTAAAGACCCGATGCCCGCGGTTCCACCAGATGACTCGGTGCCCGCAGTCTTGCCAGATGACTCGGTGCCCGCAGTCTTGCCAGATGACTCGATGCCCGCTGTTCCGCCAGATGACTCGGTGCCCGCTGTCTTGCCAGATGACTCGGTGCCCGCAGTCTTGCCAGATGACTCGGTGCCCGCAGTGTTGCCAGATGACTCGGTGCCCGCAGTGTTGCCAGACGACTCGATGCCCGCTGTGCCGCCGGATGGCTTGGTGCCCGCTGTCTTGCCAGATGACTCGGAGCCCACTGTCTTGCCAGATGACTCGGTGCCCGCAGTCTTGCCAGATGACTCGGTGCCCGCAGTCTTGCCAGATGACTCGGCGCCCGCAGTCTTGCCAGATGACTCGGTGCCCGCAGTCTTGCCAGATGACTCTGCGCCCGCTGTCTTGCCAGATGACTCGGTGCCTGCTGTCGAGCTTAAAGACCCGATGCCCGCGGTTTTGCCAGATGGCTCGGTGCCCGCAGTCTTGCCAGATGACTCAGAGCCCGCTGTCTTGCCAGATGACTCGGTGCCCGCTGCTCTGCCTGGTTGCTAGGTGCCCGCTGCTCCGCCTGGTGGCCCGGTGCCCAGCCTGATGTGCCTCTGCCCGGTGCCCAGCCTGATGTGCCTCTGTCCGGTGCCCAGCCTGATGTGCCTCCATCTGGTGTCCAGCCTGATGTGCCTCCGTCCGGTGTCCAGCCTGATGTGCCTCCGTCCGGTGTCCAGGCTGATGTGCCTCCGTCCGGTGTCCAGCCTGATGTGCCTCCATCCGGTGTCCAGCCTGATGTGCCTCCGTCTGGTGTCCAGCCTGATGTGCCTCCGTCCGGTGCCCAGCCTGATGTGCCTCTGCCCGGTGCCCAGCCTGATGTACCAGTCCTTAATATCCCGCCAATTACCGGATCCGGCGGTGGTACATTTTGCCCATTTAGGACGGTTTGGAGTGTCCTGAGGCCGCTCCTTGTTGTACTGTTTGCTTGGCCCTGGTTTCCTGATCCTGTTACTTCTGTCCTGACTCTGCTTGAACTCTGCCTGTACTGACCTCGGCTAGTCCTGACCACTCTCCCGCCTGCTCGTGGTACTCTGTTTGCCCGTTTGCTACCGACCCGGCCTGCCTGACTACTCTTGTATTGTATGTTTGTTATTTGTTGGAGGTTTGGTTCAGTTTGTTTGCACTGTGTTTATGTTTAGTTTTGCACTGCGTTTGTATTGTTAGTCTTAATAAATTATATTATTTACTATATCTGAAGCCTACATTTCCCTGTGTCAGTCCACACACTTCTGGTCACACCCGCATCCCTGACAGCACCAGATGATTCATCTGAATAGTTTCCCTTATCCATCCCCAATTCCTCCTAGCACACATTCACAAATCCCCCCCAACTCCCCATTCCTAGCACAAATTTTCCCTTTCATTATATTTCCCAGCAGCCCCACCCCCCTCCTCCACAAATGACTGATCTCTCCCCATCCCCTTTTATTGTATATCATCTCCTCACAATGTGTGCCATTTGCCTGTAAGCTAACCAACCCTCCCTCACCTTACAGGGGGGAAACTGCTACAGAGCTAGGAGCAGCTGTGGGTTATGCTGTGCTTTCCCCTCCTATCAGAACAGCGTACCTCCATGTGGCAGATAACACAGGATTGCTCTTCCGTCGGGCTACGCACACGGTTTGATTACCCGATTTCTACCCACATGTCCTACTGCCAGATGATGAGTATCCCTTGGAGGACATAGGTAGTGGGTAATCAAACATGTGCAGCCCAACCGAAGAGCAATCCTGTGTTATCTACTGCATAAAAGAACGCTGTTCTTTTTTTTTTTTTTAAAGAATCTTTATTGGGTTTTCTTGTATACATAACATCAGCCAACGATAACTTCCGAAGGTATATCATGGCAACATAGCAATACTATCAATAGATCTAACAAGTTGACCAAAGCAGGTAATAATAGATTCAAATACTTAGATGCTGATATTATCAAGATCCCTGAGAAGTAGCAGAGGAATAGTGATAGCGACTGTATAAGCATCTGTGCAATGACTATGATGACGGTTGAAACAGAAGGTGGACTGTTTTGTATGCCAGTAAAGTGGGTGAGAAACATAAAAAGGTATATTAGAACAGGACCAGAGATGTGAGGATAGCGACATATCGCATTATGTTGACTAATAGCCAGGTTAATGAAGGTGTGGTTATTATCATGTATGTGGGTTAACTATAGAGAAAAAAATACAAGAATGGAAAGGAAAAGAGAGGACTAAAAAGAAAAAAGATGTAAAAGTTGAGGGGAGCAGACAATAGGAAAGGGACTCGAGGAAGAGCTAGGGTGAGGAGAGAAAAGGAATGGACTGAGTAGGTCCTTCCCAAGAAGTCAATAATGGAAATATACACTAGACAGTTTAATAGACTAATGTTCTGTGAAGTTATGTTCTGTAGTGTGATAAAGCGTGGGATGTTGTAAATCTTCACTGATTATGAATGGGAGAGGAGTTAGATGAGGACAATAAAGGAAATAGAGAAATGAAGGTTTGAATACCTAGAAGAGGTGGGAATGCAGCAGCTGATTGAGATAACAGACATTTAGCAGTGCACACATGCAGACATTTAGCAGATATGAAACAATATGACAAATATGACAAACATCTGTAACTATAAATCCTGGTTCAACAGTGTTTCATCACAGTGTTCAAGAGCCTTGAAGAAAGAACTGTTGCTCTGGGACCAAAAAGGACTTTTGGATATAAAGTGTCCACTTTCGAGTGTAATACTCCTCTCTGTGTTGATGAGATGAAGTTAATAAATTGAGCCAATCTAGGCGAAGGAGGGCGTTGAGATCTAATTTGACGTCAGAGGTGGATGGTGGATAATTGGAGACCCATTTTTTCAAAATAGCTCTTCTCGCTACCATTAAACAAGTAGACAGCCACGGTTTGCTGGCTCGAAATGTGGCAATCTGATTAAAAGAGACTCCCGTAGTAGGTGATTCCAAATTGCCAAAGAAAAGAGGTAGAGGGTCCTTTTGTAGTTGAAGAGTAGTGATGAAGTCTATAAAGCTGAGTATCAAAGTGCGAGAACTTCCTGCGCTAAGAATGGGGCCCTGTTTACCAAGCAGCTGACACAAAACTCCTTACCAAAATGAGTAAATACATATAAATATAAAGTGCAGCGCTCTCCCTAAACTAATTATATGTAAATATAAAGTGCACACTTGACTACAAAGTGCTCTACATAATAACACAAAATACTAAACTTATGTGCAAAAATTGTGCATTTGCAAATATGTGCATTAGCAAAAAATTGTGCAACCCGTGTACTTCAAAATAAGAATAAAGTGCAATCAAAATGAGAATAAAGTGCAATAAAAATCACTCCAACCATCTGTTATAAATAATGATAAATCCAAAGTAAAATTAAAGTGTCCAAATGCAACAAAAGGACTAACAGTCTTCATGCATGTGTCACACGTGTCCACACTGTGTGAATCCAAACTTTAGCCGTGATGGCCCCTCACCTCCTTGCCAAGACCCTACAGGGTCAGCTCGCTTTACAGCAGGACACCCTTTAGGTGGCTCACCAGGACCTTCCCCGCCTCTTACACTCTAACAGCGATCTCCTCCAGTGATGCAATCTTAGAGCGAGAGGATAGGTGTTCTCCAGGGAGTCATGCCTTTATAATGATAAATCCAAAGTAAAATTAAAGTGGCTAAAGTTTGGATTCACACAGTGTGGACACGTGTGACACATGCATGAAGACTGTTAGTCCTTTTGTTGCATTTGGACACTTTAATTTTACTTTGGATTTATCATTATTTATAACAGATGGTTGGAGTGATTTTTATTGCACTTTATTCTCATTTTGATTGCACTTTATTCTTATTTTTAAGTACACGGGTTGCACAATTTTTTGCTAATGCACATAATTGCAAATGCACAATTTTTGCACATAAATTTAGTATTTTGTGTTATTATGTAGAGCACTTTGTAGTCAAGTGTGCACTTTATATTTACATATAATTAGTTTAGGGAGAGCGCTGCACTATATTTATATATAAAGCTGAGTAGTTGGTTCCAGAAAGTAGATATTGGTTGGCATGTCCAAAATCTGTGTTTTAGTGAAGTGTTTAGTAAGTATAGACAAGGCATGTAACCATGGTGCATAATCTTGAATTGCTGTTCCCGCCAGAACTCGTTAGAATTAAATGCACATGTAGTATTGAAACATGTGAGGATTTGATCCACTGTGAAGGTGTTGTGGAAGTCTCTGATCCAGGGGGAAATGCAAGTGAAAGTTTCTAGTCGTTTTACATAATATAGGTTTAGTGGTCCATAGATATAGGATATTCTATATTTTCGATTCCTGACTAGAATTTCTATAAATGATATACGGAAGTGAATAGACTTAGTCAGTACTATCGAGTTCACAAAATTCCGTACTTGTAAGATATACAGAAAATGGTGGCAAGGTAGATTGAAGGAAGTAGAATTTGATGAAGAGGAAGAGGAGAACCAGAAGAAATGTCAAACAGTTGGCTTACTAGTCTGAGATTCCGATCAAACCATATGTCATATGCTGCATGTTATTGAGGAACAGAGAAGGAAGGATTATGATGTATAGGAAGAAAACAAAATAACCAAGGGGATACGCCTAATTTACGTCTAATCTCTTTCCATGTGATTAGAGTATCACGTATGAGTAGGTTATGTTTCAGGTGGGAGTGAGTTAGAGTTTGAATATAGAAGGGCTATGAGATCAAAAGGATATACCATGGCAGATTCTAATTGAAAGTTAGAGTAGTTGGAGGATTTGGTCAGCCAGTCTATGCACACACTTAAAATACATGAAAGATTATAAATTTGAATATTAGGAAGACCGACCCCCCCCCCTCACACCTAGGCAGGAATAGCTTATGTAGAGCGATGCATGAACGATGTCCTTTCCACAAAAAAACTGTGATTGCCTTGTTGAGTCTGATTATATCCATATGTTTAAGTAATAGGGGGATGGTTTGAAGAGGGTACAGCAATTTCGGAAAGCTCACCATCTTGAAAAGATGGTGACTGTCTGTAAAGTTGGAGAAAGCGTTTTGTCCATAAGTTTGTAAAATTCGGAGGTATACCCATCAGGACCAGGGGCCTTACCATTTGCTAGAGACTTTATAGCTAAATGAATATCTGACTGCGAAATAGGGGCATTTACAGATTGGAGTGCTATGGAGTCAATTTGAGGGAGGTTGACGCTATCTAGAAAGAAGATGGCTTGTGAATGGTTAATGGGATCAGGGCCATATAGATTAGTATAGAAACTTTCCAATATAGAAATGATTTCCTCTGGGGAGTGTTTTAGTGTACCCTGACAGTCCTTGAGGGAAGTAAATTGTGTAGGAG